TATTTGAAATCTGAGGAGAAAACAAGTTTGCACTCTATCTTGTTTATTTATCGAATATCTCCACATATCGTCCTCCGATGTATGTAGCTATCTACACGTACCTATTATAAATTATCAGCTTCAAAAACAAAATGACGGTATCGGTGAGTGGGTTCATATAGAGACAGCATATTGGTTGTTATGAACGGTTTAAAATTGAGCGTGATTTTGTAAAGGACAACAAAAACAAGTCACTGCTTCTACAATGCCAGACGGACTAATGTGGCCGTTACCCTTCGCAGCTTACTACGTCTAGTTTTAAATGTCATAACATGATTTCATGTCATTAGGCAAATGCTGATTTATAGTATCATATAACTAACACAATAGTCTTCTATGTAAGTCTCTTGGATTAGTTTTTAACTTTGATATTTCACTTCACAGTTGTTTGTGCTGTAATAAAAATCTTATTGAAATCAATATTTCTGACTCGGTCGCAAGTACAGTGATCAATGCTAATTATTTTGTTTTCCATGTGAGAGAGGTCTTCTTTCACTAGTGCTGGGAAACTGCTGGCTGATGTATTTAGAACCATGTTTGATATTAGTAAGAGGCCTAGCCTCTATTGTCACTGGTGTAGCGTGATATTAAAGGTAGCCAGGCCGAGTGCTGGATAAAACAGCGACCGGCTGGATCCGGGCGTTGGTCGGCAGTGCGGCCATAGAATCGCGACGTACAATTAAGTTCGCCCAGTAATTCACTTAGGCTTACATGTGTCGATTTGCGCCACAATCACGTCGCATTACCGACTAACTTGCAACCATCACGCTACTTGGATTATAGCTTGCGGCTGAGAGCTTTGTTTCTAATTCCATTTTTTGTGTACTTTGCTTGTAGTAATTGGATTTTGCAGGAAAAGTCGGCTACTTACTCAATCTAACATTAATATTCGTATGATTTTTTTAAGGGTCGTACTTATTTTATATGGTTAAGACATTTTATATAAAAACAAAATGTCCTGGAACTTATAATTACTCGAGTAATTAATATAAAATGCTGCGCGTTAAAACATTTTTTCTCATTAACATATGGCATTTTTTATTAAATTACATTTCCATTTTTACAAACGTGGGCGGTGCGACCTCAGGCTCTCTGTATACTCTCCATACTAAGTATACATAATATGTACTCACTACGTGTGCACATGTAGTAGAGTCACATTGTATATGACGTTATTAACTTACAACTGCTGTTTACATAAACATTGAGTTGCTTCCCAAAACTGGATAAAATTAGTTTTGAGCCCGACATGATCTTCAACAATCAAGGAATTAATAATGAAATATTTTCTACGAATATGCACCGCATTTAATAGTTCCAAACATCGGAGACTCAAATCAAATAGTAAACATATAAGTTAGTACGTGGCCTCATGGGACGGAGGCACTTTATGTACCTATATGTGAATGTAGTTTTAATGGCAATAGTTCCAATACCCATTCATACGAGTGTCCGTATCAATACAGTCTGCAGACTCCATTGATAATGAAAGTACTTCATTACTTCCTCTACCACTTGGTATGGGTATAATGAAGGCACAGCAGTAAGACGTAAAGGATGAGAAGGTGTGTGTTCTCCGTGTGAGAAGAGGCCTTTACTTGGTGGTCTTTGCTGATTGTATTGATTTCGAAAGTACTTCATTACTTGGTGGGTGTAATGTACGCCTTCATTACGAAGGCACGTATCGGTTAAGGCACAGCAGTAAGATGTAGGGGCCCCGGCTTCCCTCGCTCTGTCGCAGTTTAGTGAAATCGATCACACGAGATGTGACTGTTGCCAGGGGGATAATATTTCATTGGAAATCTTCAGAGAATTCCGATCTATTCTATTGGAAATGAAAATATAAAAACATGTATAGTTACAGTGCGCAGTATTCGCCGTTAGGTACTTCTGTCGGGTTTAGGCAGTGAAGTCGCCATTAACATCGCATATTAGAAAAAGAAACTTAGATAATTTCAAATGTCACAATATCAGAAGATAGAGCAATAGAATTGAAATTCAATACTTTGTTCAATACAATAATTGAACCGTATCATTAAAATTTTGCTGTCTATTTTAGTATGTAAAATAATTTATCAGTCCATTACTACTGCGATATAGCTTCATGCTGCCTAGTCGCTCAGAAAATACGCAATAGTTACGCCGATAATAGATCCCATCTGACATTCGTGGAAAATTTGTGACCGCCCACTGAATTGACGGCTATTAATTGATTGACATTATTAAGCTCGGTCGCGATTGTATTGAGATGTTTGGAAAAATACACACAAATATTAAAAGCTAACATTATTGTTTCGAAGAAATTTAATGAAACTCTTTTCCAAAAATACCTATTGTGTTCTTCTAACATAGTTATTTCTTGCTAAAAATAAAGTAACCTACATCGCCGATAGAAGTAATATATTCCAGCAGTATGCCAGAGTTATCGGGTAGGAAAATAATTGAGATTAAAATTGTTCGTTGCGTAAGTTGATAGGCATATAGTATCAGTGCTTCAGTAGGCTCGCGCCGTGGTATGACGAGCGGCCGGGCCTGATTGCCGACCCGGACAATATGCTCGCCGACCCACGCACCCATATTACGACCGGTTTATAGCCGGTTTCTTACACAAATTAAAAATAGAGTGAACGTATGTACTTAGTCTTTTGTATATTTCGCTTATGGTAAAAAGAATCATAAACAAAAAAAAGTCACAAAAATATGTACATACATACATACAAAGAGAGAGAGAAACTCCCATTAATGATTTTTTTGTCTTTTATCATCATCATCATCATAACATCAAGCCTTTATATCCCCGAAGGGGTAGGCAGAGGTGCACATTTCGGCACTTAATGCCACTTTACAATGTAACATCCACTTTTACAATTTATGCTATGAGTCCCATGTAATAGGGGGTGAGCCTATTTCCATATACCGGGCATATTTCTAGGCTCCGTGCTACTAATAAGATCTTTGAAAACTCAGTAATACTTTCCCCGACCCGGGAATCGAAACCGAGACCCCTTGCCCGGCAGTCGCAATTGTGACCACTCGGCCAACGAGGCAGCATTTTGTCTTTTACTGGGGCCAAAATCCATAAACTCAGTACACAATGGTTAACTTAAACGATGAAGGAACATGTTCCACAGAGTTAACCGCACGCATCCATCTCCCATGAAATCCAATCAAAGCCTCGGTGGCTTAGGCCGAGGCTTCCATGACTTGTAGCGATCTCCTCGCGAGTAAACAGACAAGAGATATTGAAAACTTAATATCCTGAGCAAAATGTTTCGCAGTTACCCAAGTTACGGTGTGTACGAGTAGGCAAAATGCCCGTCTATCGGACAAATATCCGACAGTCGGACAGGAAGGGATAACCTAGTTCTGCAGAGATTTGTTTCAGCCAGTTTGCAGTTGCGCCCGCGTGGAGTGCCTATAACAAAGCGTCCCCTCGTGCCACTACTGCGGGAACTCGACACACACTCGCACACCAACTGTGTTCGCTTAGCGGAACTTACTTCCGGACTGTGGCGGAATTGTGGGGATTTCGACGTGAATTAATTTAAAAAAAAACTCCGTGACTTAACTCCTGTATAGGCAACGATTGTTGTGTAGTTAGTAGTCAAGTTACGAATACGACATCGGAACAATGAGTAACTCACAGGAGTTTAGTGTATTATTTGAGTAAAATTAATGAATAGGTAAAATTCTGAAATAGGGTAGATGACTAGTTTTTATTATAATATAGATTTTTAAAAACATTAGACATGTATTTTTTATTTTATTACGGAAACGAATAGTTTCGAAGATATTGATTTGAAATATCGTATGACGTCACTTTTGAGTACGATTTATACACTAAAATGACGTGGTAGCTACCTCTCACTCCTAAACTTTGATTCGTTTTATCTAAGTATTGTTTTCTTAAATAAAACGAAATAAAAAATACGTGTCTAATATTTTTTCGTTACCTAACTGACGTACTAATTAGATTTTAAATTTTCATTCCTTGTCCCAGTTCATAAAGATTCTCCATTTTGTTTGGCAACCCAATAAGCAGAGCTAAAATCTTTTCTCTAAATTCTTCTTTGTAAAACATAATGTAAGTACAATTAAATAAATTATCTTGAATTGTAACTTAATGCATACTCGAAATAAAATTACCGGAGCACGCGAGTACAAAGCTCGTAGTAGTTCTCGGGACAGTTTTGCACTGTCGCCCGCGCTTCGCTCAATCTGATCGTTTTGAGCGAATCAGCCAAGCGAAGTTTTGTGTTCTAAGCGCGGGATTTACTAAATCCAGCTGTATTTCCATATACTGCACTCTGAATATGAAATTCTAACTTATTTCTAGTATTGTTTTGTGGAAAATATCTGATTTAATACAATAGAAGGAGAAGTTGAGCAGCTTCCAGTTATTAGCAACTCTGCGAACTTTATCAGTGTCGTCCGTTTGATGGCCTTGTGTGAATTGTTCAACTCTTATAGTAACGACTTATAGATACCTACATATAGATATCAAATCGTATATTTTAACCTTCTAGAGCAGTTTTAACCCTTAACAACCCACAAGTGTCTCGCGGACACAATTTTGCGTTTATGTTTTCATAAAAACTAAAGTTTTTATTTTTATGAATCGGCCTTTTATCTAATTTATCGTCAATGTCTTACGAATCTAAATGTGCAATGAAAATATTTGTAAAGTGAATATTTTATTATTTTTGGTCGATAAACGAAAATAGTACTTCATCAACCCAGAAGTGTCCAACAGACACAATATCGTTTTATTTGATTCAAGTGTGAAGGTAGATTGTTTTTTATTTACATTTACTTATAATCTTATGGTGTCGGGTGGGCAAAAGCGGTTGCAAGACCTTTGTTTGTGTTATAATCATAGTTTTTGTAATCGTATCACGTATCAGTAATCAGAAACTCTTGTCATAATGTAGTCATGTTCTAATTCGTTTTTATTGAATGATATGGCTAAACGGCAACTAACACAAAGTGAAATTCAACGTGCCCTTGTTGAAAGTGACAATGAAAACATTTTTGTCCATGAGTGCGATAGTGATGATGAGAATTTCGCTGTTGACAGCTGTTCTGATAGTGAAAGTAATGTCACAGAACCAGCATCTGAAAACGATGATGAACAATTATGGAATAACAGTGATGATGATTACAAGAATACGTCTCAATTTACACTTATAAAGGAAGAGATAACAACTTGTAAATCAGAACCTAACAGGCAAAACCGAACGCCTCGACACAACGTAATTCGCGGCGGTATCTATAAGGTGATTCTTCCTCCTCCAGGCCAAACCATAATAGGTCCGATAGACAGTTTCAGCCTTTTTTTCGACGATCACGTATTACAAGTAATAGTAAACTATACCAATACTGAAGGGCTTAGAATTTTACAAAATCGATGGAAATCAACAGATATACAATCGAAATGCAAGTACTCCGAGGTCTTTTATTGATTATAAGCGTCAATAAACAGGGAGGTGTAGGTTTTAGAGAATACTGGTGCCCTATCTTTGGCAATCCAATATATCAAGCTACAATGGAAAAAAGAAGAAGCGTTGTTATATTTTCCCTTCGAAATTATCAAGGGCTTCTAAACAGTGTTGTACTGAATGCAAACGCAATACATGCACTGAATATTCTGGAAAAAAATAATTGTTATATCTATAAGTAAATAAGTGTAAATACACATCACTGAAATACATTATACTGTCTTTTTCATTCAAAATATCTTTAATTTCTTTCATCATACCTTACATTTATAAAATGAGTCTGTTGGACACTACTGGTCAGTTACGTCACAAAAGCATTCTGGATAGTTAAGGGTTAAACTATACAATGAGGAAAAGTTGATTCACCAGTAACGTATTTGTGCAGAAAACAGTGAGGTCTGACGACGCAACTCAATTAGACACACATCATTAGACAAAGGCCGGTAATGCGATTATAAGCTGAACGCATATTATTACAGGCACAATGGCCTGATTGTCTGCCAGTACTGTGAGTGTGACACAATTACGATGCTCCCGTAAGATAATCTGCTCGTAATCAGTCGGCTGCACCCGAGTACCACCGAGTGCCGCCGAGTACCACCGAGTGGTGACCAGTCCATGCTCAGACGCGCACCACTGCACGCAATGCATACAATACTATAAATGCTTTCAAGTGCGTGTTGATTATATCTGTCTGAGTGATTTTATTGTGACAATCATAATTAATATTATTATTGTATACAGCCCTGGGATTAAACATTCCAAATTCCATTTTTTAAAACTCATATACCTACGTGTTACTATTATGAAAATATAAATTTGTAAAAATATTAAAACGAATAATAATATAACTGTAGCTGGTGAAATATAAAATATTATTTGAAAACATTTTCCGTACCGCAACCTGTTTTAGAATGAAAAGCTGAATCGGTAAAGGTACCAATGAGCTTTGAAACTTTGTAAGTATTCGCACTGATGCAATTTCTTGAAATTTCTAGTCACAATAGGTGCACCACAATGCCACTACAATTAAAAAGTTTTCTGAGAATTGTATACTGTGTGTGTGCGACGTTTTTTTAAATAAAATGTTGTTATTTCCAATGATCAGTTTGAAACAAAAACACGGCGAAATGTGTGAGGCTTATCTGTTCTGTGTGAGCAGATGGAAGTGGGTTAATGTGACGTCGTACGTTAGATAAGCAGCCTCCGACCGCGGCGCGCCATCTTCAAAGGACCCATATTCGAGAATCTACCTACCTATATATACTCGATTTGGAAACTTAGTATGTACTCTAAAATTGACACTTCATTGATATGATTTATTTTTCTTTGAATTGTCACTGCTCAGTGCTTTTTAAAACAAATCCATGGCATTTTGTTGACAATAAGATCCTTTAAGATGGATCTTTGTACACTATGCTCGTATGTTACATAATATAAAATGTAGACAGCACGGTCAATTCTTTTACCCAATGCGGTGGCGAACCTTCAATAAATCTTACCTTAATTTCATCGACAATTTCACGTGGTTCTGTGGGGTACATGACCCGGAATAGTTGTGATTGGAAGCGCATTGTAACAAGTGGTTGGTCCCCTCACTATTCAATAGGGGTGACCGCGGGATCGATTGCGGCATTACATACATAGTTTAACATCATCACGTGAATGAACGATGCGTAGTGGTGATCTTAAACATTATGTCACATCTTCATCAACATCTTGCGGCGTAAATTAATGTTATTATAATAGACGCATTAAAAACCAATGCAGTATAACGCTCCCTCTTATGACTTGCTTCATGGTGTCGTGTCGTGTTCAGCTATTGTTAAATCTTCAGATGGACCGTTATTCGTTCATGCTCTCCGGGAAATGAATCGTACGTTATGATCGTCATAAGATACGAACACTTCTCGCACATTACACGTACTGACATGATTATTCAAGTTTATGAGGTTATACTTCAGCACTGTACGAGAAATATTCCGAAAAGACGTAATGAATTAAATACTACGACACGTAATAAATAACAATAGCGTCTACTCGAAAATGCTACGAGTGCTACGCGCTCGTAGCACGCTACGAAGACTACAATGTTTTCGTAGCAGGCTACAACGCGTAGGTGTTATTTTTAATATATTAAAATGTAGTCACTTTGATACATACATTATCATCATCATACCATGAATGAAAATGAATATTATTATAAAACACTTAACGTTCCAATACAAATCAATAATATTATCTTAATCCCTACTTCCCCACAGCCACAAATATCGTAAGAAGATTTCCTGACAAAGTATCAGAACCAAAAGCATATTATTCACATTTCGTTGCATAAAATGTTCTCCGTTAGTATTTTTTCAACGAATGCATTGTCCGACGGACGGATTAAGCTTCAACACATTCAATACCCGATACGGACGTTTGCGATGTCAACAGAATTTCAGCGGAGCGGAGCTTCAAAAAGCTTTGTTGGGAAACGTTTTAAGAGCATTGTGTGTACCATCAAACGATTGAGGCGAATGTACGTGTAAACCCAGCTTTGTAAATGTGCAACACTCCCACCCAGGATTATATTCCAGATTGATATGTACTGAGCTGGCACCAGGCGAGCCTGGTTGTATCATAACGTTAGTATTATACCAAAACATAATACAGAATTATAAGTGTTTAGGAGCAAAAATTAAGTACTTAGTAATTTTAACATAATCATTTGCGAAGAGTTGACACTGCGTAAAGATTGGTTTACGCCTAACTGAAAAACAAGAAATATTTACAGAAGTATTGTCATCACAAACCTTTTGTTTCCTAAGCAAATAGAGCGTGGAACAGGTTTCCCTAGAGTTTCGTATATTTTCATTTGTTTCCCGTAGTTTCAGGGGAGTCAAAGCCGCGTCTTCTCAATTCGGAGTGTCTGCTTGTTATTCGGGCGCCGGCGCTCGGTGGCGGAGTCAACGCCATTACCTGTTTGTTTCCAGCCCCTCGCAATCGATACCACTACACTCGGGAACAGCTCATTATGGAAAATAGTTGGCTTGCTTTCTATTTAAATTGCTCTTCAAAGTGCTTTAAATCGGGGAACAAGTTGAGATATCGTCTCGGTAAACATGTTTTTAAACTTATTTTAGTTTTGGGTTATGTCGTGTTGTTATCATGCTGGTTCATGATGCACGTCATGATGGTTTGTTGTAAATGTGTGTGTTAGTTGCATGACGTCCTTTGTTCTGAATACAGCTCCACAGATTGTGGTTCTGGGTCTGGATGTGCATTGTGCATGTGAAATTGTATGTTTGTAAACGCACCCACGGTACAAGAGAAAATCCTAGTGTGGAGCAATGTTTTTTTATAAAGAGCTACCTGTATGAAATAAATAAAACCTTTGTACGTTCACATTTTATTTAATACGAGTAAATATATTGGTACGACATTTCGTTCCATATTTGTCAAAATTTTCGCTGTATAAAATTGCGGATAACCGCAAGGGAAATGACATAGGTGTATGTAAAATGATAATAAACAAAATACGAATATTTTTGGTAAGCGAATACGTGAATATCAATACGTATCGTTACATAATGTCGGAGTGTGGCACAAGTGACGTCACTCTTGTGTCGTATTACTGCAATTTTCTGCGTCACGTTATTGATATTCACAATTATTATGCACCGCACTCGCGCGCCATGTTTGTTCATGTCCAAATACTTGATGATTCAAATTTCTGAAATGATAAATGCGTTCATCATGTCCCTGTCATTACAAGATCCAAGAATATCCTAACAATAATGTGCTCAATTACAGTAAATCAGGTGACTATGTCACTCATAGCTTGTATATTTTATAAGCCAGTTAGCTTAACGTAGACAATTTAATAGTACCTCCTACACTTTCGCAGCACGCTACGAAGACGCCGTAGTCAGCGTAGCAAGCCCGTAGCATGACGCGTAGCGCTCGTAGTATCATTAAGTTGCTATTATTCGTTTGATTATTACCTATTGCTTGCTTTTACAATATATATCAACCAAATCTTAAAACCTAACATGCTTGTAGCATGTTATTCTATCTATTAACTGATAAATTTTAGCAAACATTATTGTTTGCTCCATAATCGTTCATAATTAATTTTAAATATATCGCAGTCATGGTCACATTTGTAAAATTGCACGTATTTCATCACTGTATTTTTTATTTTTACCTATAATTTTGTAATACATTTTTAGAGAGCCACGTGTGGCCAGTATCCATAGAAGTTAACAAAGTGTCACCGTACAGTCAGCTGTGTGGCGTCGTTTGTCGTCGCTCCTCGAAATATTTAATTCAGTGCACAGTGCACTCGATGCCGCCCTAATGGAGCCACTCCTGCACTCCCTCACACACTCGCTGTTATTTACCGCTATGTATATTATTTACTATTCGTTCTTTGGAACTTTCCACAATAGTTCCAAGTCAGTATTTGTAATAACTTGAGAAACTCTCTCATTTTGTCAACACACGTAAGTAACAACTTGCCATAGTTGATCAACAATGTTCCACAGCAGTATAATCTCGTGTTAACCTGAAGTTACACAATGCTACAACTTGTATTGAATGTAATCCAAGTACAACATAATATGCAGCAGTCCGCAAACAAACATAAATATTTATGTAAATATCAATTAACATATTAAAAGGAGTTTGTAAGCAAATGTAGCGAGCGGCATAAATCGGGCGGCGGAAGTGGCAATGAATCATGTGGTGACGGTCGTGTGGGGTACACACTACACAGTACACAGTACACCGTACACAATACACAGTACACGTGTATTGTGCTGTGTGTCGGCGTGTCGTAAACTTGCTGCCAGGGCCACACCGGCGGAGTTATGACTGCAAAGACTTATCCCAAGTGTTGATCACACATTACATTAACATATTAAATAATATTATAGAGGTATTCTAAAATTCTATGCAAACTGTTTTATAATGCAAGT